AAATAAAATCTTTAAAAAAAAAAACGTACGAATTTAAACATGTTTACTTCATGAAGGTTCGCGTTGCACTATTGATTTTTCAACTGAAGAAGATATGGAATTAGAACAAAAATATTAATATTAATATTCTGGAATAGATTTATCTTTTTTAAGATTTAAATGCATTATTTTTAAAATTTGGACTTTAATGTTTATCTTTGTCATCTTCAAATCTTTTTAAATATCTCACAGATTTTGCATCTGTGTTGCAGAATTCACTGGCATATTAATGCATAAAATAATTTAGCAGCATAAATGGAAACAGCATTTACATATTCATATACATTACATTTATTTCATTATTGTTAACCTAAATATCAGATAAATAGGTTAAGAATAATTATTAAATAGAAGAATCCCGATTAAACGCAAATGTTACCAGTCGACGTCTGTACGTTGTTCACAGTACATAATCCGAAAGTATTGAGCATAGCCGCTGCAATTCTAATGGCCAAGAAAGTTAATTACCTATAGAAATTGCCCAAACTATAGCAATCTTCATGATGGCCTTAGTCCGCGAATTGAAACGGCTATGCTCAATAGGATTACGTATTGCTACATACCGATCCAGCGAGATAGCGCAGAGGTGCATGATGGACGCTGTAGAAAATAAAACATCCAAAGAAATCCAGACGGGGCACAAATATCTAGGTAGTGGCCAGACATAATCTGCAAGAGAACAGGGAGAAGACAAGAACATATTATCCAAATTACACTGAATGTAGTTTTAAATTTTAGTCTACTTATTTCTTCCTCTCATAATCTAAGCTTTTTAAAGACAGTGAAATTTGGGAAACATTATTTTCCATAGTAATGATGATGATGAGGAGGAGGATGATAATGCATTCAGTGTTATGTACATTATTTTTCATTGAGGTAAAATTTACATAGCATAAAATTAATCACATTGAAGTGTACAATCCAGTGGCAGTTAGTACATTCACAGTGTTATGCAGCTATCACCTCTTTCTAGTTCCAAAACATTTCATCATCCCTCAAAGGAAACTACTACCCATTAGCAGTCACTCCCTATTCTCCTCTCCCCTCCCTGACAGTCTCTAATCTGCTTTTTGTCTCTACTGATTTAGCTATCTGTACATTTCAAGTAAAAGAAATCATACAATAGGTGACCTTTTGTTTTTCACTTTTTCTTTCACTTAGCATACTGTTTTTGAGTTTCATTCATTTTGTATCAGTACTTCATTCCTTTTTATGGCTGATGCTTTTATCAGTTGAAATTTTTTTGATGCTCTTGTAAATGGATTTGTTTTCTTAATTTCCCCTACGGATTGTTCATTGTTAGTGTATAGAACTATAACTGATTTTCATGTGTTAGTCTTGTATCTTGCAGTTTCACTGAATTTATTTATTAGATCTATTTTTGTTTGTGTGTGGGTTCTTTAGGATTTTCTATATATAAGGTCATGTCCTCCGTGAATAGAAATAATTTTATTTTTTCTTTTCTAATTTTCCTCTGCCTTTTATTTTCTTTCTTGCTTAATTGCTCTAGATAGACTTTCCAGTACAATGTTGAACGGAAGTAGTAAGAGCAGGCATCCTGTCTTTTTCTGATCTAAAAAGGAAATCTTTCACTATTGAGTAGGCTGTTAACTGTGCGTTTTTCATGAATGCCCTTTATCATGTTGAGGAAGTTTCCTTCCGTTCCTACTTTGTTGAGTGTTTTTATCATAAAAGAGTGATGGATTTTATCGAATGCTTTTTCTGCATCAGTTGAGTGATCACGTGGTTTTCTTACCTTTATTTTATTAATGTGATGCATTACATTGATTGATTTTTATATATTGAACCAACCTTGCGTTCCTGGAATAAATCTCCCTTGTCATGGTGTATAATATGATGCTGAATTTAGTTTGCTAGTATTTTGTTAAGGATATTGGCATCCATATTCATAAGAGATATTGGTCTATATTTGTCTTTTCTTGTAATGTCATTTTCTGGCTTTGGTATCTGGACAATGCCAGTCTCATAGAATGAGTTACAAAGTGTTCCCTCATCTTCTATTTTGTAGGAGTTTGAGAGGAACTGGTGTTAATTCTTCTTTAAATGTTTGGTAAAATTTGCCAGTGAAGCCTTGTGATCCTGGACTTGCCTTGTAGGAAGATTTTTTGATTCCTGATTCAATGCCTTTACTTGTTATAAGTCTCATCAGATTCTCTGTTTCTTTTGTAGTTCCTTTTGGTAGTTTGTGTATTTAGAAATTTGTCCATTTCTTCTAGGTAATCTGATTTGTTGAAGTACAATTGTTCATTGTACTCTTTTATAGTCCTTTTAACTTCTGTAATATCAGTCATAATGCCCTTCCCCCACTTTCATTTATACTTTTAGTAATTTATGTCTTCTCTCTTTTTTTTCTTAGTCACTCTAGCTAAAGGTTTATCAACTTTGTTGACTTTTCAAAGAGCCAACTATTGTTCTTCCTAATTCTCTTTGTTTTTTTTCTATTCTCTGTTTTATTTGTCTCCCTTTTAATCTATACCATTTCCTTTCTTTTGCTAGTTTAGATTAAGTTTATTCTTCTTTTCTAATTCCTTAAGATCTAAAGTTAGGTTATTGATTTTGGACCTTTCTTCTTTTTAAATGTAGGCATTTACAGCTATAAATTTCCCTCTGAGTACTGCTTTTGCTGCATCCCATAAGTTTTGGTATGTTAAGTTTTCATTTTACTCTTCTCAAAATATTTTCTAATCTCATTTGTAATTTCTTCTTTCACCCATTGGTGGTTTAATAGTGAATGTGGTGTTTAATTTCCACATATTTATGAATTTATCAGTCTTCTTCTGTTGTTGATTTCTAGTTTCATCCCATTGTGGAAAAGATACTTTGAATGATAATATTTTTAATTTTTTATGCTTGTTTTGAGGCCTCATATATGACCTATCCCAGAGAATGTTCCATGTGTACTTGAGAAAAATACTTTTTCTGCTACTGTTGGATGGGGTTTTCTTTACATGTCTGTTAGAATTAGTTGCTTCATAGTATTGTTCAAGTCCTCTATTTTCTTACTGATCCTCTGTCTAGTTGTTCTATCCATTATTTAAAATGGGGTATTAAAGTCTCCAAGTGTTATTATAGATATGTTTTTTCCTCCCTTCAATTCTGTCAGTTTTGCTTTCTATATTTTTTGGTCTCTGTTGTTAGATGCATATATATTCCTAATTGTTATATCTTCTTGATAGTTTGACCTTTTTATCCAATATGTAATGTCCTTTTTTGTCTCTCATAACAATTTTTGTCTTAAGTTCTGTTTTGTCTGATACTAGTTTAGCCACCCTAGCTCTTTTTGGTTATTATTTGCATAGAATATCTTTTCCTTTAAAGCTATTTGTGACTTTGGATCTAAAATGAGTCTCTTATTGACAGCATATAGAGGAAAGTTTTTTTAAATCCATTCTGACATCGTGTATTTTTAACCATTCTGCCAATTTCTGCCTTTTAACTGGAGAGTTTAATTCACTCACATTTAAAATAACTGAAGCTGGGCCGGCCCCGTGGCTTGGTGGTTAAGTGAGCGCGCTCCACTGTTGGCGACCCGGGTTCGGATCCCGGGCGTGCACCGACGCGCTGCTTCTCCAGCCATGCTGAGGCCGCTTCCCACATACAGCAACTAGAAGGATGTGCAGCTATGACACACAACTATCTACTGGGGCTTTGGGGAAAAATAAATAAATAAGATCTTAAAAAAAAAAAAAAAAAATTAAAATAAAATAACTGAAGTTAAGAAAGAACTTATTTCCACCATTTTCTGTTTGTTTTCTATATGATATATGCCATTTTCCTCATAAATTCCTTTGTTATTGCCTTCATTTGTGATTAATTGATTTTTATAGGTACTATTTGATTTTCTTCTTGTTTCTTTTTCTGTATATTATTTTAGTTTTTTCCTTGGGTTAACTTGAAATTAAAATTATCACGTTAACATGACAACCAAGTTTTAAATAATACCAACTTAGTTTCAATAGTATTTGAAATTTTCGCTCCTTTATATCTCCTTCCCTCTTTATTTGTTATTGTCACAAATTATATCTTTATACATTGCATGCCCATTAACATAGATTTATAAGTATTGTTTTATGTATTTGCCTGTTATATAAGATAGTAAACCAAAAGAGGAGTAACAAATCAATAATAAACTTATATTGAATTTTATATTTACCTTTTTTGTTTATTTCTTCATATACCTTTGAGTTACTGTCTAATAACCTTTCATTTCATCCTGATGGACTCCCTTTAGTATTTCTTGTACAGCAAGTCTACTAGCAATGAACTTCCTCAGTTTTTGTTTACCAAGAAATTTTTTTGAAAAAAAATGAAACATGTTTGATATATAACACTGTGTAAATTTAAGATGTACATGTTAATTTGATACATTTATATATTGTAATATGATTGCCATTGTAGCAATAATTAACACCTCTATCATGTTACATAATTATCCTTTCTTTTTAGTAGTTAGAATAATTAAGCTCTAGTCTCTTAGCAAATTTGGTAATTATAATACAATATTGTTTTCTATATTCACTGTATTGTGCATTAAATCTCAGTTTCTCCATTGTTTAAGGATAATTTTGCTATATATAGAATTCTTGGTTGACAAGAGGTTTTTTTTTGGTTAAACACTTTCAATATGTCATCCTACTGCTTTCAGGCTTCCATAGTTTCTAAAGATAAATTCATTGTTAATCTTGTTAAAGATTCCTTGTAATATTGACCATAATGTATCTTGGCTTGGATCTCTTGGAGTAATTTATGCTTGGAGTTCATTGAGATAATTAGATGTGTAGATTCATGTCTTTCCTCAACGTTGAAAAATGTTTGGCCATTATTTCTTTATTCTTTCTGCCCTTTTCATTCTCTCTCTCTCTTTCTGGCACTCCCATTATGTGTATATTAGTAAACTTGATTGTGTCTCATGTGTCTCTCAGGTGCTGTTCATTTTTCTTCCTTCTTTTCTCTTTCTGGATAATCTCAATTGACCTATTTTCAAATTCCCTGATTCTTCCTTACATCTGCTCAATTCTGCTGTTGAATCAATCTAGTGAACTTTTCATTTTAGTTGTCGTACTGAAATTTCATTTCAGTTATTGTACCCAAATTTCTATTTGATTTCTTTTTATAGTTTCTATCCCTTTATTGATATACTCTATTTGTTGAGACATAGTTCTCCTGGTTTCCTTTAGTTCTTCATTCACGGTTTCCTTTGACTCTTTGAGCATGTTTGAGAGAGTTGATTTAAAGTCTTTGTCTTGTAAGTTTGATGCCTGGGTTTCCTCAGGATCATTTTCTATTAATTTATTTTTTCCTGTGAATGGGCCATACTTTCTAGTTTCTTTGCATTCCTCATAATTTTGATGAAACTTGAATATTTTGAATATTATAATGTGACAATTGTGGAAATCAGATTACTCCCCCCTTCCTGGGGTTAGTTGTTCCTATTTGTGGGTTAATTTTGTTTGCCTTTTTAGTGACTTTTCTACAGTACTTTTATAAAGTCTGATTTTTTTTGTCTTTTGTGTCCACTGAAATCAGTGTTATGTCAGCTTAGTGGTCATCTAGTGTTTTGAGAGAAGTTTCTTCAACATCTATAGGCAAAGAAAGAAAAAAAATACTCTTAGTCTTTGTAGATCAGCTCTTTTGGGGGGGCCCTTCTT